GGGGGGGGAGGGGAGAGGTGCACAGGAGCCTAGAAAAATCTATTGCAAATAAATGGGGTGCTGCAAAGGCCCCCCCTGTCCAGCAGTCCTGGCCCTCAGCCGTAGTCCCAGATACAGAGCAGCTCCCCACTGGGGAGTGAGGAAAAGCCCCTTCCCAACAGCCGCCCATGCCCCCATCTCTGCCCTCCCTGCTCCAGCCCAGCCCTGCTGCAGGGGGGCACTCTGGGTGTGGGGGGTTGGGCTTGTGGTTGTCATTGCCGGGGGATCACTGGGTTCTTGAGCTCGGCTACCATGGTGACGGAGGCCCGCTCCATGTTGGTGGCGTTCTTGGGGCTGGTCTCCACAGGGCGTGCCAGACAGCTGCTGGGTGTGCGTAGGTACAACTGCCCCCTCCCCCGGCATGCAGAGTGGGGGCTGCTACCTGGTGCCAGCTGCGGGCAGTGGTCAAACAACCGAGGATTGCAGGGCGTAGCAAAGAGGTTTCCACGCTCAGCTGCTGCGTCCCTATGGCGCTAGGAAGGGGGCTTGTAGATTCGCCGCCCCCCCCCCCCCCAGCTGACCATGTCTTATGCCAGGATCTCCTTGTTATTCACGGGAGTCCTCCCCTCCCGCCTCCCCCTGGATTATCGGTGCTTGTGGCCTGGGGTTTCAGGGTGTACTAATCTGCCCCTCCCAGGGCCTGCCCTTGGCCGTGGTGTAATCCAGCACCTTCTTGCCGGCCTCTAGCCACAGGAGCATGTTGCTGATTGAGTCCTGGGAGAGGCTCCGAGAGCACCCAGCCCCTGCCGCCCCTTCCACAGAGCCCAGCTCTTCCCTCTGGGAGGATCTGCTGCTGGGGAATCAGGGCAAGACCATTGCCTGCAGTCTAATGCCCATCTACAGGTGGGAGCAGCTCCATCAGCCTTCACCTAGTCCATCCCCAGCCAGGGTGGGATTGCGCTCTACAAGTCCATTTCCTCCTTGGGAGGGAGAAAATGGCACCTTGTGTTAAATACAGTACGCCTTCCCAGCCAAACCAGACTGAGACCCACCAGCTTCTATCACACACACGTGTCCCCCCAGAGCGGCCATTAAGTGGGAGTGACTGTCAGTCATTACTCCCCTTAGCGGGATTAGAACCCACAGCCTGGAGGGAAAGGCTCCCTAGCTCCATCCCCAAGCAGCTGAGTTAACCAGTCTCGGAGCAGCCCCTCTCTTAAAGAGACACAGACACTCCTGGCGACGCAGCTCCTGGGATTCAGCCCAGAAGATTCATTTAAATGTCCAGTGAGACTTGATTTCTACCCCTCAACTTTACAAAGTTTGTGTTGTTATTTATCCAGAGCCCTTGGCTAGCACTGAGGGGCTCTGAGAGAACACAAAGATCATTTGCATCCAGCACTCAGGTCGCCCACCAGACACGTGCATCTGCCTCTAGGGTGGAATGTGGCAGCTGTTTTAAACGACATGCAGAGCACTGCTTCGCTGAAGAAATCCTGCATTTGCGATCAGCCCATGGCAGAAGGCAGTCAGGTCTGTA